AAGTGTATAACAACAGGAACAGTGATAACAACAATTATTGGCTATAAATTATGCAGGTGATTGAGAAAGAGTTCGGCGTTCATCGTTGATGTACCTTCGTCGTTTGTCGTTGTCATCCATGAACAACGTTTCAACATCCTCAATTTGAAACCCTGTTGTCTCAGGCATATGGAAGTAGAATATCACTAATCCAATGGATGAAAGGCCTGCGTAAAGCATGAATGTACCTGAAAGTATTATTTACGAAGCTTCAAACAACTCGATTGATCAGTGCTAAAACTCCGAATGTGATTATTTAAATTCATTCAAGGCTAAACTCAGAAGTGTTCTGTACAATACTGCTGTAAATGTAACAAATATCAACTGCTTTTGATTACATCGAAAAATTTTCTGCTCCATAAGAAAATATTTGACTATTTTGTGTGCTGATGCAGTTTATTGGAGTACGTAGTTCAATACGTACATAGTTCACGAAATCTTAAGGATGGTTCTTCGATAACTCAGAGTAAGCAACAGTTGAGCAAAAATAACTTTTCCATGCTTCTTTAATGAGTTAGAAACATTAGTCGATGTGAAATTAACTGCAGATCAGAATTATCATCTATTCCTGGACATAAATGCAAAGTAATTATGCAAAGCGATATTCACCGTATTTAGTGATAGACTGACGAAGAGTCAAGAACGTCAATGATACGAGTAGATTGAACATCCAGTTGGTGAACGTTGACAGCGAAACACAAGTACCACGTGCCCACAACGGATACACTTCTGCGTTAAATACCCACGGCATCGGTCCAATACCTTGACAGTTCAACGTTCATTTTAAATGCAAATAATTTAGATGAAGGCAACTGGCAATCACTGAGGTACATCTATCAGATAACTAGAATGAATAAATGATGAAAAAATTACGAAAAGTTTCGTAAAATTTACCGAATGAATAACCAAGAATGTAGAGAACCATCACAACAATTGGAACTGCGGTAAATTTGGTTATGCAGTAATTATTCGCAAATTTATACTCACTTTCTTGCGAATTCACCTTCAATATCAACAAACAATAATTTTTTTGAAGTTCAAAATCTTGCAATTGATTTAACTTGATATACATTTAAGTTAGTGGATCGCTATGAAGATCATTGCCTTCGTGTTATAGATTAAAACACTTCTTTTAATCAGTGTTTCACTGAAATGAT